AATCTTATTAATATATATTATTAATTTTCGGATTAATAATATATATTCGGTTCACAATCTTTTTTTCAAAATATTTAAAGAATGAATTTTCTTATTATATAAAATTAATAATGGATGTTATTATATAGACTTTTTTGTAATTTTTAATGAATTTTCTAATAAATAAATTAAATATAACCTTTCATGGTTCCGAGAATTATATTTTTTGGAATAAATAGATTCTTTAAAATATGCATAAACATATTTATACAAAAATCAAAACTATTAGACGAAAATTATTTTAATTATAATACTAATATCTTGAATGATGATATTACGAATATTTTCGATATTGCTTCAAAAGAAATGTCTCCCATCTTAAAAGATATTTGATGATCTTATCTGGATTCTTCCTAGAAATATTTGGATTTTTCCTAGATTCTTCTCGTATTCTTCCCGGTTTCTTGCCGGAATCTTCTGAATTCTTCTAGTTTTTGATGGATTCTTCCGGATTCTTTTTTGTGCGTTTCTGGATGTTTCTGGGCTCTTCTTGAAATTCTAATTTGTCTTGATTCTCTGTTGATCAAAATCTTTCAATCATTTCTTTCTTATTAGAAATTCTCTCCTGGAATATCTTCTAGAAATTTTCAATTAGTTATTTCATCATAGAAATTCTCTTCTGAAAGAATTACTAAGATTCTTTCAATTAATTAATTCTTCTATTTTCTTTTGAAGGTCTTATCAAATTTCTTCTTTGAATTATTTCTTCTTAAATTTCTATTCTGGAAGATTTGTCAAAATCTTTCAATCGATTGTTCCGTCTCAGAAATTCTCTTCTTTCAATAAATTATTATTTCTTATTAGAAATATTCTTCTGAAAAGATATCTAATATCTTTCAATTATTTGGTTCTTCTCAGAAATATTCTTTTGAAATAATTCTCATAATCTTTTAATTATTTAATTCTTCTGTTCTCTTCCGAAAATTTTTCCAATATTCTTTAGATTCTCAAATTCTTTCAGGCAATTATTTCATCTGAGAAATTCTCTTCTAAAGAATTTTCCAAAATCTATTAATTAATTATTCCATCTCAGAAATTCTCTTCTGAATGATTTTCAAATATCTTTCAGCTAATTTCTTATTAGAAAGAATTATAAATTGTCTTCAGCTAATTATTTCTTATCATAAATTCTTATAAATATATTTTCAATTTTTTTCAGTCAGCTATTTCTTTTTGGAAATTCTCTTCTGTAAGATTTTTCAAGATCTTTCAATTAATTCTCTCTTCTCAGAAGTTCTCTTCTGAAAGATTTATCAAAATCTTTCAGCTAATTATTATTTCTCAGAAGTTCTCTTCTGAAAGATATTCCCAAATCTTTCGATAATTATTCTTTTTCAGAAATTCTTCTTAGATTCTCTCTTTTGAAGAATTTGCCAAAATTATCGAAGATTTTAACAAAAAAGATGATTCAATTGATGAAACTTAGAAATTCTCTTCTAATAGATTTGTCAAAATCTCTCAATCGTTTATTTCTTATCAGAAATTATCTCTTGAAGATTTTTCCAAAATCTTTCAGTCGTCTATTTCCTCTTAATTCTCTCTTGAAGAATTTATCCAAAGCCTTGAATATTCTGAAAGAATTATTGAAATTGAATCTTTCCAATCCCGTCAATTGCCCGTAGCCCGCCAGTCTCTCAGCCTATATGTCCAGCTCGATATAATCTGTCGATCGAATTAATTTCTAAATTCTCCAGATTGATAATTTCGGACCTGCAGATTATTAATTTTGACCTTTTAGAAAGATCCGGATTTTGAATTTCGACCCGCCCAGATCGTCAATCTGAATATTTATCAAAATTTCTTATTCATGGCTAGATCATGAATGCTTTGGAGAAATCTTATCATTTTATCAAGGATTTCTTCTATATTTCTGTTCCATATTGTTTTGCTCTTATGAAAATAAGAAGATCATTAAATTGATCTTTAATTGCCCTGCACAGCTCCTTATAGCTCAATATTCTTCTAGATATAATCTTATTATTCTTTCCTATTTTTCATTGCTCTGAATTTCTATTTATGATCTATTATTTTACTTTTCGTAATTTCTCTTTATTGTCTTTTCTTATTTTTTATTGGAATATTTTCTATTCATTTTTCATATAGAAAATTAAAAAATATTCTACTAATAAATCATTTTTATGAATTTTCTCGTTTATATGAGAATCTTATCATTTTTCGAAAGAAATCAATATTATTTAATATTCTATATCCATCTTATGCTTAATTTAAATTATAGAAATTTCGAAGGACACTTATATAATTTCTGCAGTCATCAGCTCAAATATCTCAAAATTTCCAATTTTTTTAACGATTTTTAGTCAGTTATATATAAGCTTCTTCACGATTTTTCGAATATTTTCAGAAGAAAAATTTAATTTATTCCTACCGTTCGTTTTTAAATCGAAATTTTTTATTTATTAAGAAATTGGTATTTCTAGATTTATTCTACAAATATTTATAATCGTGTTTTAAATTGTAGACTCGTAGTAAAATCCAGACAACAAATAACAACTTTTCCAATTAAAATACTACAATAATTCTACTCAATCAAAAATTTTATTTTACTACCTAGCCGGATATCACCATACAAATCAAAAAATTATACTACCATACTTAAACGAAATCTTAAAATTTATATAATATTTAATTTTGCGAAATCTATAAATTATCGAAATTAAAATATATGAAAATATTATCATCAGAAAAAGTGAAAAAAGAAATATTTTAGTTTGAAAAATGAGAATCATAATTCGACTCAATTCTTATATTAGAAATCTGTAGTAATCAATATATTTTTGATATTTGGCTAAATAACGGAATGTAAAAGAATCAAAATTATTCGAGAATTCAGAGAACGACGCCTAATCTGAGTAGTATCTCATAAAGTCGCCCCTATGGGTTGGTCTCGTTTGCCAATCAAGGTAAGAAACGAGCTGGCTTCTCGTGATAGCAAATAATTCCATGGAAGGATAAAAAAGAATCTATGTAATTCCTACCGCATACCCACATTCCTTTTTTACTCGCTTGGTGTCCCACATCGACGCACTGTCCTGGAATATCTCGCCGGTCGCCATGCCACCAGAAAAAGGCGTAACTTGCTCGGGAGGCTTGATTCAGCGCTTGCCACCATACAGGCTCTGCCCGCTATTCAGAAATTGGCGGTCGGGACTAGACTTAGGGTTGCCAACTTGCACTGTTGAAGCAGGTGCCCAGGCACCTGAGAGTGTTGGTACTCTGGTGCCAAGCAACATCGTGAACCCTATGCTGTCTAGAACTGAAGCAGCATCCGTATTTAACCCTGCACATGTGACTTGTAAGACCAAGACAACTCTTCCGTCCAGATTGGTTCAGACCTGGCATCCTGGCGAACACCCTGCGAGCGATCCTAAGCGCTGGTGGCTGCAGTGGGAAATGGCTCTCCCCTACGAGCATAGGCTCTGATCCTCACTCGCCAGACAAGGGTCAAAGATTAAAACTATACTGACTAGCAGCGAGGCATAGACCCGAATGCCAAATTCCTACCATGGGAGGTGCATGTTCTCCGAAGCCCACAGCAGACACAAGGAAAATCCAAGAACCCTTAGGCGCCGGAGCCAGGATCTTGCATGCTCGAAGCATTTGAAAGAGACCTTGGGTTCCGGATTCTTGAAGAGCGTGTTTCGTGTATCTGGCTTCGGAGCTCCTTGGCTCCTAATGCAAGCATTGCCCCTGTCGCAGATCAGATGGAACAGAGCTCTGGTCGCGTTTAAAAAACGGGGATTGGCCGTGGCTGTGGATCTAGTGAGATACCACGTGTCCTTCCTCGATGCCGGCGCGAGATAGATCCCAGACCCTGCACGGACGACAATCAGAAGGGTTTAGTGACAGGCTTGATGCCCATTTCCGATCTTCTCAAAGACCCCTGTCGCAAGAGATTATCACTGCTGCCACAGCCGGGTTAGCATCAAATGGAGGCCAGCAGTGAATGACAGAGACTGCTGCGCACCAGCTCTGACCATCTGTTCTGCTCATGTATCTTGTTTGCTTTAGCACCAGCTCGCCACTCGCCCCATGGTAGACAGAAGCTGCCCTGCTGGCAGCGATACATGCTTGCTCCGTAAGTTGCTAGAGGTACGATTGACCGCACGAAAGAACTATATAGTAGCTGAGAGCAAAACCGAAGCACGCGGAAGACATAAGTTTGAGCACATTTCCAGTGAATGCGACCGCTCCCGATGCAGCGTGCGCAGCAGTCCCTCACGCATGCAGCGTGGATGTACAAAACACCCTTTCGGTGTCTTCCACGAGCTATGGCAGAACCTGTTTCTGGCTCAGATCACCTGCGAGGACATCTTGGTCTGAAGAATTTTCGATGGTCCCGCTTGTGGCTTCAGGTACGTTCTAGATTCTAGCACCTTCGGTGCCTGCTTGAGTATAAACTGGCTGTGCGCCTTGAGGCTTCCTTCGGAAATACTGCTTGTCAGTTGTATTGGCATTGACCTCAGGTCGTGGAAGGCTGCCACTGTTGACCCCTATTGCTAGCCCGGAGCAATTGCACCTAACAGCGCGACTGTTGTTGCTCTTGCTGTTCTGGCAAATCCCGCTGCTACAGCATGTCCTCCGACGCATTTTTTACTTTCAGAGGGGAGGTGTGCGGCTGCTGTGGTGGTGCTGCCAGCGAAGAGAGTCATAGGGATGAGAACCAAGACCAAAAGCGCAACAAGGATAGGGAGCTGCGTTAGGAGTGATGAAGGTGAATCTTAAACTCTTAAACATGCTGGTGGTGGTGGTGCAAACGACGGCAGCAATGCACAACTTTTCGGGGCTGCTGCCCTCAGCATCAAGGAGATATCTGAGGAAGCCGCTAAACTTTCCTTCGTGCCACATAACAGTAATCGATCTCCCAGGCAGATCCTTTGGAATCCTGGGTCAGGAAGATACTTAGGGACCTAACTACCCTTCCAGGCGCTTCTTGCCGATCTTGTAGCCGGCAAAAAACGTGAGTCCCAAGACTGCAGCTTGAGCAACACCTTGGAGAAGGGCCAATCTCGCTTCGTGACCACAATCCTCAAGCATAAAACCATAGAGCCTTAAGCCCCTTTCTTGGAGCAACGGTAGCATAAACTTTTCCTGAGCTGCGGTGCGCCACGCGGAAGCCCAGGGCCTGTCGTGCTTTGGCGGCATCCGCCACAAAGGACCATTTCCTGAACTTCCGTAAGAATCTTTAACAAAGCGTCCTAGACCAGATGGGGAGCTCTGGAAAGTTCTGGGGTCCTAGTCGGTCGAGTTTTGGTCGAGATTTTTTCAAGTCGCCAAGCAGCTGATGACTTGGATGCTTCACTTGCTGCACCACTCCGAAGATGATGGCCCCGGCAACACAAAACGAGCATCTGCAAAGCTCGCAAAGCCCCGGCGTGATCCCAATCACTTGTTGAAGCTGAGTTTCAAGTTATCCTTTTTCGCATCGCTGAGCACGCTGATGCGCAGGAGCACAGCGAGCACCACCAAACCCATCTTCCAGAGGTTGCCGCTCCTCTGCTTTTCTTTGAAACACGCACCTGTAAGTGTCTGTCCCTACATGCGTGTGTATGTATGTGTGTGTGTGTATACATATATATATATATGTATGTATGTATAATATAGAGACAGAGAGAGATAGAGAGACAGTGTGTGCGTGTGTGTCGCATACATGTATGCAGAGACAGACAGACAGACAGACAGACAGACAGACAGACAGACAGACAGACACACACACACACAAAGACAGACAGACAGACAGACACACACAGACACACACGGACACTGACAGACGGACAGACAGACAGACACACACAGACAGACACACACACACACACACAGACACAGACGGACACAGACAGACCCAGACAGACACAGACAGACTCAGACAGACACAGACAGACACAGACAGACACAGACAGACACAGACAGACACAGACAGACACAGACAGACCCGGACAGACATGGACAGACACGGACAGACACGGACAGACACGGACAAACACAGACAGACAGACAAACAGATAGACAGATGGGATGGACAGATAGATAGATAGGTAGGTAGATAGATAGGTAAATAGATAGGGCAGATAGGGGAACATAGAAACGCATGTATTCATGGTACACATCAACCAAACAGCAACGGGAAAGCAAGAAACAATCAAACAGATGGGGGTGTGTGAAAGCGTGGCATCCCGGAACCCAAAGGCCGCCATAAGCTCCTGTTGCTCTCCACCTGTAGGATTGTAGCAACGGACGGCTGCTGTCATACATTACAATCTCAAGATGTTTGCGTCTTTGTAATCGGGTGAAGGATCAATCACTTCTTGAAAGGTCATAAAGATACTTTTACAGTACAAAAATCCTTCCAATGATCAAGAAACTATTCTGCATAAATATTTTTGTACCGAAAGCGCTGAATAAGTTGAAATGATTTTGGGTGTCGTCTTGAATCTTGCCAGTATATGGTGTTCTATTTAATTCGCCGGCCGAAGCGGTCAAGAGGCTTTATCCCCTCCGCAATGACCCCCCCCCCCTTAAAATTGAATTTTAGCAAGCCCTGCGTCCAGAGATTCTGTTGGCGGAGACTCTCGGCTTGCCAGGAGCCCCCACCCCCCCGAACCTTTTCCCCCTTCCCTCGTCTCTTCCTTGCGGCAGGCGAAGCAAGACAGGCAACTCACATCACTCGTCGGGTTGATGCCAAAGCCTGGGAATTCTGGTGCACTTTGTTGCAAAGCTTGTTGATTCCACATTCCCCTTCAACATATGGGAGGTTGTAGTCAGAAGTGTAGTACGATTTTTAGAGAAACATCTATAGGATAACGCAGGAAATGTGCCACCTTTCGCGTGGGATTCTTGCTCAGAGCCTCAGCATAAAAACAAATACTGACATTAAAAACACATGCTGAAGCAAATGCACTCCTTCACGCAAGCCCTCACCTGTGTGATCTACCTGTTGCATTGCGAAACAATGCACCTAGTTTAGTCCTGATTCCTGCCAGTATATGGGGGGAGGCATAAGCGCCGTTGTCCCGAATTTTCGCCAGTACTTGGTAAACAGCATTTGCCTGAATCCCACCAGCACTTGGTAGAAAGACTTCGAGCCCGCGGTTGATGCACGGCCAAAAAAGCGCGGAGGTGGGGGAGGGGGGTTGCACCCGGCCCCCCCCCCCTTTGCAAACACGATGCCGGTTCCAACACACGTTGGTTGACGGCCGCACCCTAGCCGACACGAATGCCCTGGAGTAGCGGCCCACACAGAAAACCTGCTAGTCACCATCAGCTGCACCGCCGGGATCCCATAGCACATCGTCGCGAGCAGCCTCACCCTCGACATTCACGACTTCGTTCTGGTCCACACAGCGCCGCCGCGTGGCACGTTTTGCGCAACGCGACCTCAGCGGCCCGGATGAGGCCATGCTGCCAAACCAGATCGGCCTCAGAACGAGAGGGGGTAGGGCCCCACCCGAGACGAGCAGCCAGCTCACGGCCGCCAGGTCACAAGATAAAGACGGCGGAGAAATACTCGCTCCTGGTTTCGTTTGAGCTGGTAGGACCGTCGTCAGCCGGGATAGGCTGAGAGTACGCCCTAATCAATGTCTGTACGATTTCCGCTCCGGTACCTAACTGTCCCGAGAGACTCAGATAAGCACAAGTCCGAATCCGCATCGCTTCTTCGACAGCTGGGTCCAGCTACGTGTCTACAACCAAAGCCAAGTCGCAAATGCTCAACCAGTATGCGACAAGGTGTTACCCAGTTAGCGAAGAGAACCTGGGAAACATGTGTTGTAGACGGCGTTCACCCTAACGCGGAGCGACGCCAGGAAGAGGACCAATGCAAGCACTGGTCCTAAGTTGAGTCCCCAAGGGGACTGCACTGCACAGCACCTGTCCTTAGTGGAGACAGCGGCCCTGCGGGCGACTGGCCCTGAGCAACCAGTCCTAAGCGGAGTCTCCGAAGAGACTGCGGGTGGCTGGTCCAGAGCAACCGGTCCTGAGCGAGGTCTCCGAAGAAACTGCAGGCGGCTGGTCCTGAGCAACCAGTCCTAAGCGTGGTCTCCGAAGAGACCGGGCAGTCAGTGGCCTTAGCGGAGAAGCTGAGGGGAACCACGGACTGCAAGGCCTGAGTGGTTAAACCTTGGCAGAGTCTCCAAAGAGACTGAGGGTTTTGCAGCACGCGCAGGACTCACGAAAACACTCGGGTAAGGCTCGAGTTGCACCTGTCCTGGCATAACTGCAGCCTCTGTCGGGTATGGCTCGACAAGCACCCTGTCCAGTTACGGCTTGGACATTGCCTCAGTCGGGTATGGCTCGACTAGCACCGGAGGTATCACCTCAGTCGGGTAAGGCTCGACTAGCACCAAGTCCAGTTAAGGCTTGGACATCGCCTGAGAAAGCATCAGGCCCAAGCTTCTTGCGACAGAAGTGGCCTTAGCCCACCCCTTGCCTCTGCCACTGACTCTTGGTGAGCCGACAGATGCGTTCACGGATCTTCCCCATCTGCCCCAGGCAGGGCAAGACGCCCTGGCTGTTCCATCCTAACCTGTGCCCCAAGGGGCAGGCAGGCTTCAGAATAGATTCCTGGCGGAGGTCGTTGAAGTGACTACAGTGCCACAAAACGTGCTCTAGTGTCGGAACTTGGTGGAGCTGACAAAACGGACAAGCCTGCAAGATGTTACCAGCATTACTGAAATCGACAGCGGGGCTTTTGAAGCCACCTGTGAGGATGCCCAGTTCGTACCCTGTGCAGTTCCTCGTGGCAGCCCGCAGCTGTTGAATCAGTCTAGGTGTGATCCTGAGGCCGATACGGCGTGCGACGCCTGAGTCTATTCTGTCGGCGCCCTTCCAGGCACTAAACTGGGAGCATCGCCAGTCTGTCCTAAGCTCGTGGAGAGCTTTGTCTGCTGCAGGGCCTGGAGTCGACAGGCTGAACTGCACCCGACCCTTCGTCACCGCAAGGGCAGTTGCCCGCCAGGCTCCCCACTTTGAGAGCACCCTTTGAGCCTTGGCACGCGTCGCAGCAGACCAAGTGACCACCTTTCCGTCTCTCGCGCGCTGGGTCATCCAGCGCTGAACGGCTCTTAGAACCCTGACCAAGGCGCACAGAGAGGCATCAGAACCATGCCCGTAGCTGAGGACATTGCGGAGTCCCGGAGCTGCACGACCGAAGGAGAGGTAAGGCCCGCGCAGTGCCCTGCAGTACAGCGACCTTAGAACACGCTGGTCCTGACAAGTGGGCCAACGGCCGCAGACCCCCGAGGCCCACGAGAACATGGGCGTGAGTACAGTGGCCGCGATTCGCTGCTTCATGGCCACGCCACACGGAAGGAGACCGACCCTGAAGGCCCTAGATTTACAGGTGGCCTGCCGTTGCAACTCAGCTGCTGACAGAGGCCGCTGCGCTGGCCCTAGCGTAGCTCCCAGAGCAGTGATCGTGTCTGAAGCCTCATACCCCGCATCTGCAAGAACACGACGAGCTGCCGCAGTCCTACCCCAGATCTGAGTCTTACCTGGGTGAGTCTTAAGTCTCCCGAGACGCTCAAATTCTTGCCAGGAGCTTTGCCATCCTCGAAGGTCAGCGAGGCACGTGTGCAGGGCTGCGCGGTCGTCAAGGAATAAAGTCTGGCAAGAACGCGGGTGCTCTCTGCAGTTCTTCTTGTGTGGGCCGCTAAGCACCAGGGCCATAGCTAAGGGGGCCCACGAATCCCCCTGCAGGAGCGCGGGGACTTCGGTGAACGGTTCTGGATCCACGTGGTTGCCACAAGAAACCCAACGAGTGTGACCAGACCACATACCGCGAAGGGCCCTCAGGGTGCCAGCAGCGATGCCGCACCGTTGCAGCAACATCCAAGCTGTTTTCCAGCCCATAGAGTCGAAAGCTTTCTGAAAGTCGAGGGAGCACCCGTAAGCGTGCGTCGTGGGAGACGTCTCTTCACTGAAGGCCAGCAGGAGGGTCTCCGGGTCGTGGCCTTTCAGGCCGCCGCACTGCATCACACCCAGCGTGTCCCGGGGGAGGTGTTTCACTGCTTCCTGGAAGCGAACTCGTGCCCAGGCTCTGTAGACAATGCTTCCGACCGAAATTGGTCGGGTCTTCAATGTCTCTGTGAAACCAGTACTCGAGTCCTTAGAGATGAAGCACAGTCGCCAAGCCCGAAGGCCCGGAGGCCAATGGCCTGTGTGCTCAACACACTGAAGAAGCTGTCCTAAACGTTCCCAAGCGGGATCCGGGAGCTGCAGGAGAGAGCGCGCCTCCCAGTTGTCTGGGCCCGCCGCCTTGTGTTTCATTTCCTTAACTGCCTTGCGGAGCTTCTCTGGGCACAGAGCCAGAGCCTGCTGAGTGGGCCTCTGAGGGAACCACTCCCCGTACCTGTCCAGGTAAAGCTGAGTGTCTGGCATGTAGTGGCGGTCTCCGTAAAACACCGACTGCCAGTCCTTTTTGAGGGCACGGGCACCGTTACTGCGGCCCGAGCACACCGAGCCGTCCTTGCAGCGCAGGAGCCACGGGGGCCGACCTAGTTCCTTGGTCCACCTGACAGCGGCAGAGTAGTCGCGGACCCTGAGCTTCCAAGCCTTAGCACGCGCCGACTGCTGGTCATTAAGAAACTGGTTCAGAAGCCCCGTCAGCTTGTCAATGGCCGGCCACCACTGACGGTTGCGGGCTTCTCTCTCAAACTCAAAACGGCGAGCGTCACGCTCTATGTTTCGCGTGAGGTTTTGGGAGGTAGGACGGCCCTGAAGGACGTTGCCTCGGGCCTCGTGGAGTCTGCGCAAGGCCCTCCTAAGCTGGCGCTCTGTCACGTCCTGACCTTCGGCCATTCGGCCAGCGCCGCTCTGGACTTGAGGGATTTCTCCCCTCCGGTGTGCCCTGGTGTCGTTCCTAAAGTAGCCAACTTCAGTGAGGCACGCCTCGGCACTGCTAGACCAGGAGTCCCACAGTTTAGACACGTTGTTGTCCGACCGTAGACTGTCCCAGTCCTGTTGAGGGAGGGCATGCTTCCTCCAACTCACCTTGGTGTCCTCGGTATAGTCAGCCTCTGGGTCCAGAACTCGCTTAGGCTTCCTAAACTCCCAGGCCATGGCGTTGTTGCGTGCCTGTTGCACCTGAAGGGAAAAGAAAGTACCGAAGTGGTCAGAAAGAGGGGCAACCGTACCTATGTTGCTGGTGGAGAGACTTCCAGAGACCCACACAGAGTCGGTGGGAGTACTACTTGTGAGGTGGCCGCTAGTAGCAACCAACCTGGCCCCGATGCCAAGCATGGCTTCCGGAAGGGCCCCTGCATGCGGGTTCATGTTGAAGTCGCCACCTAAGCACCAAGGCCGGTCGCCAGCGTGGCGCGTAAACTCAACTATCTCAGGCAGGGACTCCAAACCGGGGCCCGGCCGTCTGTAAGACACCAACAGGCTGAGCGGCACCGAAGCGCCGTGCAGCGTGGCCCCCAATACTTGACCTTGCTCCAGAGTGGCCTGGTGAGTTTTCGAGAGGGTGAAAGGTTCTCTGGCTAAGATGGCCACTCCTCCCTTCCCACCGTGCACGAGTGACGACGCAGGCAGTCCGAGGAACTGCCACCCATGCCTGTGGAACCAGTTTGTCATACCCGGCATTTGGTTGCTGGTGACTCCCGTTTCTTGAAGCAAAGCTAAGTCACAGTGGTGTTTAACGAGCAAAGAGACAAGCGCGTCTCTATGACGTAAAAGGCTGTTAATGTTGAGATTAAGAGCCTTGAGGCCAGGCGAAGTGCCAGGGACCTGTCGCCTATTAGCGCCGTCAGAAGCAGGGCTAGGGCCAGGGTTTTTGGCCTCACCCAGTCTCTGTCCTCTGAGGCCCCTGCCAGTGAGGTCCTGACGGGAAGGTTGGCGGGCATCCTTCACCAGAAGGACCCCGCAGCTGAGTCACGACGCCGGCAGAGGCAGCTTGCCGCGTCGCTTTCTGCTAGCATCCTTAGCCAGCTTCTTGGCCTGAGTGCTCCAGGCTGCCCATTCAGCCTGACGGGTCTTGAGGGCAGGGAAAGCCGCAGCCTTGGCTGCAGGGCAGCGTTCGATTGGGAGCTGGTCGCGGGACACAAGATGACCACATTTGGTGCACTTGTGGTAAGGTTTGACATACGTGTGCCCAAGCTTACTGGCGTACTGTCTAAACCCTTCCGGAGCCAACCCAACAAGGTGCATGCCCTGCCAGTTGGATCTACGGTATAGTTCGTGTTTGCGCTTCCATCTGTCCTGGAAGGTCAACTGGGAACTAGGGATCCTACGAGCAACGGCCTGCAGGTGGCCTTTGGGCAGGGGCTCATAAGACTCTTGGCCATGGGTTCTGATCATGTGGTTTTTACGTTTGTAATACATAGAGGGGTCTCCATGCTTAATCACAAAGTCGCACCCAGGGATCTGGCATCGCCACCACACTTGGCCCTCAGCAGGGGGCGCGGCAGGAACTGCCGGCAGGCCGCAAGAGTCCTTAGCGGCGACCTCAGAAGCAGACAGCAGTTTAGCAGCGGACTGTCTACGCAGTCGGCTCGTCTCTGAGGCATCACTTCTGGTGCTTCTTGCCTTTTTGGCGTCCTTACAGGCCGCCTTGGCTGCAAGGGAAGCAACCTTGAGCCAGCCCTTCCACAGCTGAGCCCTGCGCTTGGTAGTAGGGCCCTGCACACTTGAAGAGTCCTTAGAGCATCGCGCGGCGTGAAGCTGAGACCTTCGGACGAGCTCCTTGCAGCGACTACATCTATGGAATGGGTTGCCATGAGCCGAACTGGCATCCATCTCACAGGGGACTCTGTGTGCCCCTGGCCACTTCGCCTCGTGGAAAAGTTTCCAAGCTTTCTCCCACCTAACCTTCATGAAGAGGGCCTTGCCATTGAAGGGGGCCTGTTTCGGCTCCGCGGGGTCGTCCGGTTTAAAAGCAGGGATCTCACTCCAGGGGATGCCGTGGGCAGTACTGAGGTGTCTTTTGCGGTGGTAGGAATGGTTCTTGAGCAGCGGGTGTCGAAACACTCTAAAGCCACATCCCTCAACATCGCAGGTCCACCAAAGAAGGCGCCCTTCAGTCGCCTTCTGATCCTGGCATTTTCGCTTATGGCGAATGACATGAGAACGTGTAACCCCAGTCTGCTCCGTAGTCACAGTAGGGGCCTCGGTGCTGCCGGCCCTGGGGGGCCTGGAAGCCGGCCGAGCAGGCGCGCTTGAGGAGCACTTGCTTCGCTCCGATCCCAGCGGAGCTTGGCGGGCTCTCTTGGGCGTCGTGGTGGAGAGCGAGAGTTCAACAGCCTTGCGTTTCTGTCCCTGAGAAGCAGTCCCTACCGAGCCCGAACTAGCACCGAACGCACCCTTGGGAAGAGAGGTGTCACCACAGCGACCTTTGGTCCTAGTAAAAGTAGTCGACGCAGGACGCGACTGGTCGTCAAGCTTGCCCCGCTTCGGGGTGGAGGAGGGCAGAGAAAGTGCGCTCGCGCCTCGCTTAGAGCCGCGCGAACGGGGGGCCTCAGACCCTCTTGCAGTCCCTTTGGCTCGTGATGGTGTCTCTGAGGCCAAGGACAAAAGGCCGCTGCCCTTGCAGGAGGAGCCACAGGAGGAAGCAGCCTCAGGTGGTCTTCTGAGGCCCTGAGGACACCGCAGTTGACCCTTAGGAACAAACAGTGGATGGCCATCGTCCCGGGGTAGCGCTTTGCTAGGAAAAACCGAGGCCCGTCGCGAGGAGGCAGCTCCGGTCCTGGACGGGGTCTTTGAGGCGATGCTGCAAGATGCCTTACCGCCACCTCGAAGCATACCACGCTCTCTCAACTCAGTTTCCGAAAGCCATTGGGTGGGGACACTCTCACTATCAGGGGGCTTAAAAGTGCGGTAGTGCCCGTCTCTGAGTACGAGAGCGATCCCCTTAACTGCCTTTCTGGCGGCCTGGGCTTGCCCATTTTCAATCCATGGTGCAATCACCGATCGCTGCCACGAACTGGTCCCCGTTTTGAGTGACCACACCACACAAGGCGCGCCCACCCGTTCGCACAAGGCGGCCAACAGCATGCCATCGAGCCAGAAGTCTCGACGGGTGGCAAGCTGAGTGTATTCCTTAAAGGTGGTGGCCTCCGGCTGGAAGCCTCTTTGCTCCGGTTTTTCCTCCGGGTCCTGTGCCCATTGTGGGGCGAAAGTGTCAACATGCTTGTTCAAATGAGCAACGGCAAGGAGTCGAAGCTTTGAGGCTTCGCAAGCAAGCTGTGCCTCCGAAAGCTGTTTGCCTGAGGCGAAGGCTAGGCCCTGGGCGAAGGAACGGAAACCACAGTCGCCTGATCCTTGGTTATCATGCAGGGTCCACGAAGGGTTCTGGTTGAGCAGCAGTTGGTCAGGGTCAACTTCCTCATGAGCGAGGCTGGTACCAACCGCGACTTTCCTGTCTTGCTTGGGCCGTTCTCTGGTGTAAGGGTGGGGTCGGCTCCTCAGCTTGTCGTCAGAGGCCTTAGCTTTCGGCTCCGCTCCAAAGGATCTGGCCTTTTGGAGTGACCCTTCATCCTCTTCGTCGTCGTCAATGACCTCAGCATCAAGCTGAGTAGGAGCGACATCGTCCTCAGCTGCCCAGACTCCCGAAGGGGCTTCACCTTTGCCCCGGGGTGCCCGCAGTGGCTCAGAGGTTTTAGGAACCTGTCTACGGGGGCCTTCCTCCGGGGTGACAGTGATGCAGGACGTGTCATCAGCATACGTGTACGGAGGGTCCAGGGTGAGGGTTTCGGGCGGAAGAGCCTTGACCACCCAGACGTGCGAGGCCTTTTTACGAGGAGCCCAGCCTACGACGAGACAAAACCTTGGTTTGACGCCATTGTTGCTCCGAGAGGAAATCCTCAAGATCCTCTTGCAGCCATGATCGCGGTGTATCATAGACCCACCACACTGTCGCCTTGGGGGGGGAGAAGTCGAGAGGTTCTGCCCCTATAAGGCCCAGGTTGGCCCCTCCCCCCTGCCGATAGGCCAGGGGAAGTTTACTGTTCTGTGCCTGCGCGAGAGCATACATGTGGTAGTCTTCTGTAGAAAGGCCAGCTTCCTTGGGGAGCCAGGCAACCTGCGTGCTCTCACGGTCCTTTCCCGCCGGTGAACAAAAGATTCCCCTGTTTCCACTTAAGGCTCGGAGCTTCAAGTAGAGAGAATCGGGGACTCGAATGTAACCTACGAGAGTACTGCCGTTCTTGAACGAAACTCTCTGCCAACGTCCGCCAGTTAAGGCCGTCGCCTTACAGCCTGCGAGCCGACAGAGCTCAGCGACAACTCTGTCTGGGCTGTCCTCCACGTTTTTGTCTAAGCTCAGCGCCCTGTAAGCAGCCGGAGCGGACACTCTGACTGTAGTAAGGGCGGTGCGCGAGTCCTGCTTGATCGTAACAGTGGTAGGCGCCTTAAGCTCAGGTCCCGGCTCGTCGCCCATCTGCCTAATGAAGAGCTTGGACCTCGTAGGTCGCGCGTGCTCCGACGGCTGTGGGCCCCACCACAGGGCAGCTGCCGGAGAAAGACTAGTCTGTTCAGTCAGAGCTGCAACTGTGAGCGGCCCAGACGGCGTGAAGGCATTTAAAAGTGCCTGGACTTCCTCGAAAACTGCATGATCCCTAGCAACAATCAAGTTCCCTGGTATGGGCTGTCCAGTCTCCAATGCCTTACGGAGTTGATGGGTGGTGAGGAGCGACACTTCCTCATCCCATTCAGTGGGGGAGACCCTCGAAGCAAACCTGAAACCCCCTGGTCTCGAGTCCGGTTTGGGGCCTTTGCCAGACCCTTTTGACCCAGCAGTGTCCTTCACTGGGCCGCCACGAGGGCGAGTGTTCTGGCCTTCCGGTTTGTCGGGTCCACGCTGAAAAGTGACTGTCCTCGGAGTAACCGCAGGCTCATGGCCAAGGGCGTTAAGCATGGTGTTAGCCAAGACTTGGTCAGGCCACTTTTCCTTTTGAGCTTTGGTGAGGATTTGCAGCAGGGAATCCACCAAGGGGGTCTTGGTAGGAGGGCCAGCCCCAGGAGCTCCCTTGTTTTTGCCTTGACCTTTGCCTTTCCCCTTCCCGGGGGGGTTGTGGGGGTCAGAGTCAGTTTGAGGCTTGGCCTCCGATAGGGCCTGGGGATTGGGACGGGTACGTGAGTCCTTGAAGACAGTCCTATCCTTGCCTTTACCTTTGGTACCTTCCGGAGGCTTGGGCGGCTGGTCCGAAGGACGAACAGAGGGAGAAGCGAACTGCTGAAGAACCTGAAAGAGTGCTTCCCGTAGCGAGTCTTCCGGTGAGCCCTTGGGTCCCGGGTGACTTGCCTCGCCTATCCTCTGGCCAAGCAAAGGGTTCCAGCAGGAGGAGCTGCACCACTGGTCTGTCTGAAGAAAGTTAGTGAGTCCTGAGCGCCCGGCCTTTGCATGACTCAGTCGGTACTCTACTCGAGCAGAGTGAGCAAGCATGAACATGCGCAAGGCTTCACAGTCAAGACTCTGGTCAAATCGATGATGCCACGGTCCCTCCCACGGAGGTGGAGTAGCAACAGCGATGGTTTCTGGCTTAACAGCTGAACGAAGCAGACGTGAGCAGACTCTGAGCGCCTTCGCGTTGGGAGGTCTGCCCGCGCAGAGCCGGCTCAGTCGGGTCACTCGGCGAGTAAGGCACCGGCGTCGAAAGGACATCCTGCCTCTACCCACCCTGCGGCGGCGGCCGGTTCCACCTCCTAGCCACCTGCACTGCATGCAAACGGTGCGCTTGTGACACCACGAAGGAACGAGAGGACGGTTACAACCCTTGCCGTAGCGACGCGTAGTCCTCGATTTCTTTTCTTTAAGGCGGGACGACGTCCTACCCTTGGCCGCCTCACACCAGCAAAGCCCTCCCCCAAAGAAGGCCCAGGCAAGGCAGCTCCACCGAAACTGGTAAGCTAAGTCTCTGACATACATAGCTGAAAATGCATCGGACAATGCGGGAACGTGACTGTCGTTGTCAGCAAAACAAGGCCTGAGTAGACCTACCAAAAAGGACCTGTTTCCTAGGTCTGAGTCAAAAGCACAAGTGCAAGTAGGCAGCCCCACTTGTACAACTCGTGGGTGAAGGAGCTCAAGGGGCCCCATCACCGCTGAAGACTCCGTGAGGTTCGCCACGGCCATGGCAGAATCCGCACGGTCACACTTAATTAGTGGGCCCGGGGGGGGCCAAGGTTTAATTGCATCCAAGGTGCCATTGCTGGAAGAACCCGGTACAGCAGCGGCAGAGCTAAGCAAACAGCAGAAGCAGCACAGCAAGAGGGGAAAGCGGGAACCGGAGGGCAGGCACCGGCCCCAAGCGGGCTTCTTGCTTCTTCTTGAATCTTGATCTTTTTCATCAGCTTTCTTATTTCGGTGCTCTTTGAAAGCTTTCTTGTCTTTCTTTTTGACCCCAAGGGAGGGGTGCACACTTGGGGTTTTCTGCAACAGTTGCATGGCCAAGCAACTGTCCCGCCGCCACCTCGTGGAGGTAAACCCATGGCGGCGAACCTGGGAAACATGTAGTAGACGACGGCTTGCACCATACCACGTAGTGAAGCCAAAAAGAGAGAGAAGAGGACCGCTAGAGCCGGTCCTTAGCTGAGTCTCCGAAGAGACTGATCGGCGCGCAGCCTTAGCAGAGTCTCCGAAGAGACTGCGGGCAGCTGGATCTGAGCAACCAGTCCTTAGCAGAGTCTCCGAAGAGACTGCGGGCGACCGGTCCTTCGCAACCAGTCCTTAGCAGAGTCTCCGAAGAGACCGCGGGCGGCTGGTCCTGAGCAACCAGTCCTTAGCGAGGTCTCCGAAGAGACTGCGGGCGGCTGGTCCTGAGCAACCAGTCCTTAGCGAGGTCTCCGAAGAGACCGGGCAGTCAGTGGCCTAAGCGGAGAAGCTGAGAGAAACCACGGACTGCAGGGCCTGAGTGGCTAGGCCTTGGCAGAGTCTCCAAAGAGACTGAGGGCTCTGCAGCACGTGCAGGACTCACGAAAAACACTCGGGTAAGGCTCGAGTAGCACCTATCCTGGCATAGCTGCAGCCTCTGTCGGGTATGGCTCGACAAGCACCTTGTCCAGTTTCGGCTTGGACATGACCTTAGTCGGGTATGGCTCGACTAGCACCTTAGGTATCACCTCAGTCGGGTAAGGCTCGACTAGCACCAGGTCCAGTTAAGGCTTGGACATCGCCGGAGAAAGCACACGGGAGCCCCCCTGCGAGTCGCACAGCAACCAAGCGACGAAAAGCCTCAGACGTGTCAAGGGGTGCCGGAGCACCAGTCCTTAGTGAGGTCTCCTGAGAGACTCAGGGCTCCCAGGGAGCCGCAGGTTTCGAGAAGCCCGTCAACCTTGCCTCTGGCGGGGGGCCTTCCACTCAGCCTTGGTGAGGTTGAGGACCCTTTTCCTAATGCTACCGAGCTGAGACAAGACGGCGTGATCTATGCCCTGTTGGTCCCACCCCAGACGAGCAACCAGCAAAGAGCGGGGAGCAGAGCACTTACGAAGATCCGCGAAACACGGACAGGCCCAGCACACATGTTGCAGCGACGGCACAGTGGACTGGTGACAGAAGGGACAATCCGCACGAATGTTTTCCGAATCGAAATCGACGGCCGGAGTTTGGAACCCGCCAATGGCGACACCGACAGCAAAGCCATCATGTCGCTGCACTCCCACATGTAAGGCTTGAACCAGCCGTGGCGTGATCACCAGTTGTTGGTTCCGGGCCAGATCGGCGTCGATGCGCACAGACCTGAGCCAGTTCTGGGCCTGGGCTGCACGCCAGTCTGCACGCAAAGCATGCAGAGCCTTGTCCTGTGTCGGCTTAGGAGTGCCAAACCGAAAGACCTCGGTCCCGTTAGTTGCGCCGTGAGGCAGCGCAGACCACGACCACTTACCGAGGAGCTTCTGGGTGCGCGACCTGAAGCTCGGAGCCCAAGAGACTTGTTGCCCCTCCCTGGAGCGTGCAGACTGCCACCTGTCTACAGCTTTCAACACACGTGAGGCCGCGACCAGAGTTAAGTCACAACGGTGCCCGAAACTAAGGAAGTTACGGAGTCCTCCTTTAGTGAAGGGCCCGCGCAGACCAGCCTTGAAGAGCCCAAGCAAGGACTTGGAGTCCTCCTGAGTGGGGTCCCTGCCGTTAAGGCCCACGCCCCAAGACACTCGGGCCGTCACCATCGACGACAAGAGGCTTTGCTTAAGTCTGGTCCCTACGGGGAGCACTGAGACTCGTCTCGCCAGAGCGAAGCCTTGGTCCCACCGCTGCTGCTCTTTCAGCGACCTAGTCCTGTGCCCTGCGCCCTGCGTGGTGCCAAGCACTTCACCCTCGGCTGCAGCCGGTAAGCCTGCAGCTTGTAACAGGCGTCTGGCCTGAGCCGTGCGCCCCCAGATCTGAGTCTTACTCTCATTAGTACGCAAACGACCGAGCGTTTCGAATTGTGTCCACAGTGTTCTCCACGCAAGAAGATCGTGTACATTCCTATGCAGAGCAATGCGATCGTCAAGGTAAAGCGTTTGCACAGAGCGAGGGCATAAAACCTGAGCAGCTTTGTGCGGACCACTAAGCACAAGTGACATAGCGAGAGGCGCCCACACGTCCCCTTGCAGAAGGGCGGGGGCATTGTCAATGGGCCTGGGGTCCACCAGCCCGCCAAAGGTGACCCACCTCCTGTGATCTCTCCACATGCCCCCCAGAGCGCGAAGCACGTTGACAGAGGGCCGTGCGCCAATCAGTACAGTCAAACGCTTTAGCGAAGTCTAAGGTGACAGCATAAGCATGAGAGGCCGCATTGGCTTCGTTCTGCAGTGCCACCAAGAGTGACTCGCAGTCGTGGCCCTTGAGGCCTCCGTACTGAAGCTGGCCCAGACACTGTGGGTCTAGCCGCGAAGCCACGTCCGAGAAGCGAACCTTGGACCAAGCTCTGTAGACAACTGGGCCCACAGCAATAGGCCTCGTTCGAAGGACCTCAGTAGAGCTTCTCGCCCTCCCCCTTGGGGAGAAAGGTGAGTCTCCAGCCACGCAGACCTTTGGGCCAACGGCCCGTGCTTTCAACAGCCATGAGGACATGCTCAAACCTTACGAACGCCGCGGCAGGCAGATAAGCGAGGGTGCTAGCTTCCCAAGCATCAGTGCCTGCAGCTTTGGCCCGCATGCTGAAAACTGCTTTACGAAGCGACTCCGAACAAAGAGGCGGAGAAGCGACGACAGGACGGACAGGGTGCCATTGACCAAAGTGCTCAAGGTACTGCTGAGTGTGAGGACTGTAGTTAGGAGGCCCCATAAAGACAGGAAGCCAAGCATCCCGAAGCGCACGAACTCCGTTGCACCTGCCAGAGTGCAGCTCTCCTGACTCGTCCTTAAGCAACCACCCGGGAGGAGGCTTCGCTTTGACCCACTTGCAAGCCGAAGGGAAAGATTGGACTCTATGCTTCCACGCATGCAGGCGAGTGTCCATCTGCCCCTTAAGGTGGTCGGAAAGTTCAGCTTCGAGCTGTTGAACTGCAGCACCCCAGCTGCTAGAAGTGACATGTTGCAAGACGTTCCATTGTCTAGCATTAGCCAGCAGGTTGGCCCTGAGCCCTTGGGATACTAGCGGGCAGTAAGGCGCACCAGTGAGCCTCACGCAGCCTCCTAAGATACCGCCTGAGCTGTCGTTCCCGCGAATCTTGGCCCACGGCGAGGTTTCCCGCTGCGCTCTGAAGCTTAGGTTCGGAGCCTCTGGGGACTGCACGCCCCTGTCGTCTGAGGATCCCGGCGCAGCGAGAGTCGCCTCAGCGTCCTTAGACCAAGTGTGCCACAGGCACTCCACGTCCGCCTGAGCCCTAAAAGCTTCCCACTCCTGAGCAGACACCGCAGTGTCGCACCAGGTAGCAGTGAGGTCTGGGACCTCAGTAGGGGCCAGCATAGGCTGGGCTCTACGAAACTCCCAGGCCGGGGCATTACGGGAGGGAGAACAGACACGCATGGCGACGAACATACCATCGTGGTCGGAAAGAGGATCGAGAGTACGACTGTGGACCATCTCAAGCCCCTGATGGAGTCCGTCGGAGTACTACTCGTGAGGTGCTTGCCAGTAGCAGCAACCCGCCCACCAAAGCTTTTGAGAAGGTCGGGGAGCGGGCCCAAAGAGGGGCTCAGGTTGAAGTCACCGCCCACCAGCCAAGGCCTTTGCCCGAAAGCCTGAACGTGTCTAGCAAGAGGCTCAAGCAACTCAAGGTCGGGCCCAGGACGGCGGTAACAGCACGACACCATCAGCGGGAGAGCCTGCCCGTGAACAGCGACCGAAATGCACTGACCATGCTTCCCGGCAAACGAGTCCAAGGTGGTAACCGAAAGGGGGTCACGGACAATGATCGCCACCCCACCGCGCCCACCCCCCGGGACGGTGGCAGCAGGGACACCGACAAGCTGCCACCGTCTATGGTGGAAGTACTTACACATGGCAGGCCACTGAGTGCTCGTACACCCTGTCTCCTGCACCATGAGAATGTCAGCATGTTGCTCCACAGCAAGGTCAAGCAAAGCATCTCTGTGCCGAACAAGGGAGTTGACGTTAAGGCATAACACTCCAAGTTGCCCTGCAACATGAGGTGGCTGAGTGCCCTGCGAAACTTGAGGCTCGGGCATCTGAGGGTGAGGGCCTGGGGGCTCGCGGCTACTCAAGGGCAGGACCGGGCGCGTAGCTTCTGCAACTGGGGCTGCGGCTCCGTTGGGGCTGCAGCGAGCCAAGGGAGACTCACAGGTCTGAGGCTGAGGCCCGGGATTACTGGCCTCCCCTATACGAAGACCGCGGAGGCCCCGGCCTGCAAGGTTCTGCAGAGGAGCTGGCGGGCATCCTTCAGCTGAAGGACCCCGCAGCACCCTCAGGAGCTAAGAGGCTTCTTGCCCCTGCGCTTCCGACTAGCATCCTTAGCCAGCTTCTTGGCCTGAGCACTCCAGTTAGCCCAGTCAGTCTTGCGAACCTTAAGCGAGGGCGAAGCAGAGACCTCAGCGGCAGGGCATCGCTCAACTGGAAGCTGGTCTCGAGAGACAAGGAGCTTACACGCAGTGCATTTGTGGTAAGGTTTGACATACGTGTGTCCCAGCTTGCTATTGTACTGCCGAAAACCTTCCGGTTTCACGTCAACCCGGTGCATGCCTTTCCACGCGGCTTTACTGTAAAGAGCATGTTTGTGCTTCCACCTGTCCTGGAAGGTTTCTTGGGAGCTAGGAAGCCTGCGAGCGACCGCCTGCAAATGCCCTTTAGGCAAGGGGACATACGACTCACGACCGTGGTACGTAATCATGTGGTCCTTGCGCTTTTGCGACATCGAAGCGTCACCGTGCTTAACGACGAAGCCGCAACCAGGGACCGGGCACCGCCACCACACCTGGCCCGGCTGAGGAGGTTCAGCCTGAACAGCTGGCAGGCCGCAGGAGTTTTTGGCGGCAACTTCAGCGGCTGAGAGTAGCGGCGCGGCCGACTGTCTGCGCAAGCGACACGTTTCGAGCGAGTCCCCTCGACTGTGTCTGTCCTTTTTAGCTTTAACACAAGCTTCGGAAGCTGCCGTGGAGGCAGCTTTCTGCCAGCCTTTCCAGATCTGGGCTCTGCGCTTCGTTGAAGGGCGCATCGCACCAGGTGAGGCCTTAGGGCACCTGGCAGTGGGGAGCTGCGACCGGCGGACAAGCTCCTTGCAGCGACTGCATCTGTGGAGCAAGTTACCCGGCGTGGAGCTGTCATCCGCCTCACAGGGGACTCTATGAGCACCTGGCCACTGTGCACCTTGAAACTGTTTCCAAGCATGCTCCCATTTGGCTTTCATGAAGAGAGCTTTGCCATTGAAGGGAGGGCGCTTCGGTTCTTCGGGCTTAAAGACCGGAATCTCGTCCCAAGGAATGCCATGAGCATCATGTAAATGCCTTTTACGGTGCTGGGTATGGTTCTTAAGCTTCGGGGGACTTGGTAACCACAGCCCTTAACATCACACGTCCACCACAGAATGCGTCCCTCATTTGCTTCTTGATAGACACACTTTCGTTTGTGACGAATGACATGGTTCTTTGGGTTCGATTCCCGGTTTTCGTCCCCCGAAGAGGACGTGTCAGCAGCCTTGCGCTTGCAGCCACGGTTAGAGGACGAAGAGGACACGACAGGGGACCTGAGCTGCGACCGACTGGGGCCCTGGACCGACTCCAGACCTGACGCAGACCTGCCCTTATTAGACAAGACGCTAGCCTGACGAGAGCTACAGCGAAGAGAGTGCAACGAGGGAGTAGCAGGAGTACCACCACTGAGCGAGTGAAGAGAAGGAGTGGCAGGCTCCCTCAAGAGCGCCTGCCCTCGTCCGGCTCCCAGCAGATCAACAATCGTAGTGGGAGTTTCTCTGAGCCACGTTTTGGGGACGTCGCTAGGCGTGGGAGGTATCAGAGCCTCGTAGTGTCTGTTACTAAGGATCAAAATGAGCGGATGGACATCTTTGGCGCTGCAGGCATACCCTGCGGAGAACTTCCCTGAGACAACCAGTCGAGTCCACTCAGAGCCCTTGGACTCCCAGACAACTATCGGCGTACCTAGCTTTTCGCTCAATGCCTGCACAAGAGTCCCACACGCCCAGGTGGACTGGGCGCTAACCTTCTTCTTAAAGGCTTCAAAGGCTTGGGCGTCAGTCCACAGTTCTCGAAACCTAGCCTCGTGAGTTTTCATGTGTTTGACTGTCCATGTACGAAGCAAGGCACCCTGGAGCTCAGACTGCTTCTCGTTAATGGCTTCGCCCGCGTGCGCAGCCCTGGCTCCCGCACAAGCCCTGAAGAAACAGTCGCCGACTCCTCCATAGTCGACTCGTTTCCAGTTACGAGTCAAGGCCTCAGTAGGGTCACAGGGAGGAGCAAGTCCCCCACCTCTAGGCACAGCACCAGCAGTGGTCGCAGGCGGAGTCCTGGTGTCTCCTGCCTTAGCTTCTTGGGGAGCGGCAGCTCGTCTAGGGGAGCGTTCTCTACTTGCGTCGTCGTCAAGCTGTGTCGCCGGAGTAGTCAGTGCAGCCTCAGCTGGCTGCGTAGCAGCTGGCGGGGAGGGGTTTGGGCCAGCCGCCGCTGCAGTCTCGTCCGAAACTCTCTCACTGAGGTCCTTCCGGCGGGGGTGACGGACCGGTTGAACAGAAGTGACAGTGTGCTGGGAGCGAACCAGCACGAAAAGCTCGAGACACCAAGGCTTTTCGGCATCGTGTACCTCATACCGCCAACAAGTGGGGCACGTGGTGGCGGTAGGAGGCATGGCCTTGAGGTACCCCTGTTGCCTCGTCTAGCACCGAAGGCAACGTCAGTCCATTTTTGGTCAGAAAGAAACTTGAGAGCCTCTTCCTCACCCCAAGCCCTGGGAAACCCTTGCATGACTAATTGTTTCGCGCGCGCGGGCTCTTCATCAGCATCGGTGGCTTCAAAGCCAAGGTCAGAACCGCCACCTGCCCTGTAGAGGATAGGTTGGCCTCTCTCCTTTTGCATAGCAGCAACTCTCCTGAAGTACTTGTCGCGCCCTTCTTTATCGAGACGTCGAATCCAGAAGGGCTTGGGTCCTCGCTCTTGTGGTTTGCGGAGTCGTGTGACAAAAACGCCCAACTGCCCACTGAGCTTTTCAGGTTTGGCACACGCATCGGGCTTCAAGCGCAGGAACCCCGTTAAGGCCTCTCTGTCCCCGTGGCCTTTGTCGCGGACGGCCCAGTTACCGCCCAACAAGTCTGAAACTCGCACCTGCCCACTGGAGGACAGAGCAGCGATCACCTCAGCCGGCGTGTCAGTCCGCCCAGGCTCCTGGCGGAATGCAGTCCTGTAGCATGAGGGTGCTGTCACCTTGAGTGTGACCTTAGCTTCGGCTGTGGGGACCTTGGCGGCCTCAACCTTAGTAGCCTTCTGAATCGTGGGACTCTTGGAGTTGCCTATAGGCAGGAGAGCCACATCCTCGAGCTGGGAACCCCATCTACCTCTGGTAACAGAGACTCTGGTGAGGAGAGCCCCTTTGGTATGAATCGCATCCCCAGTAAGCAGTGCAGTAAGTGGCGCGTTACAGCCGAAGCTGCTCCAAAGCTCCTGAATGTGTTCAAGTGCCTCAACGCTCCAGAACTCGCAAACGTTGCCTGGTACTGGCAAGCCTTGACGCAGGCACTCCTGAAGCTTACCGGCAGTTACCAGCACTGGGAGTTCGTGCGCACTCCAGTCTTGGGAACGTAGGGCTGTTGCCCGCTGCTCCATGCGATGACGAGGTTGGGTTCGGGTCGGAAGGCGTTGAGAGGCACGACCCCACCTCACCTTTCTGACCTCACTGCGCGGAGCCTCAACCCAATCCCACCATCCACTTTCAGGGTCGTACTCGTACCATCCCGCAGGCTTAGCCGAAGCCCCCCTAGCGTCTGTCTGGGGCCAAGCGGCTGTACCTGTCGAGCCTCCGGTCCCATAGTCATAGTCTTGCTGCCAGGTGTCTGGCCATTCCCACGACTGTGAATCGGTTGGCTTCGCTTCGTCACACGAACCCGTTTCATGGGCATGCATGATCGTCTTGAGGAGCTTGAAAACTTCTTCATCACAGGAGCCCTTGTTCAGGAGAGCCTTTAGGCTACTCAGCAGGCTTTTCGCAAAAGCGGGGGGACTGGAGGGCTTTCTAGTCTTTCCTCCGCCCTCTAAACGCTCATGCGTAGCCTTCAACCAGTGCCAGTAAGCACTTCCAGCGCGCGGAGGCCTGCAGTCTGAGGCCCCAACATCCGGCGGAACTTCCCTCCCCTTCGGGAGAAGATACCGCAGAAGAGCGTCCCTGTGGCCTCCACAGGGTCCGTACTTTCGTGGCAGGAAGCCACCTTTGCGAAGCTTCAGGCACCGAAGTGCCCACTCACGTCTGTGCCTCCTGGCACTTGCCCGCAGGGCGTGCGCGCGCCGGCTACTGAGTCGCCGGCACTTCCAAGCCACAGCAAACTTACCCTGGGGTTCAAGCCTGCGGCATCTAGAACGAAGTTTCTGTCTACGAGTACGGCTTAGACGAAGTCGAAGCCGCGCTCGGTGCTTGGGTGAGAGGCCGGCACTCTTCCGAGACTCCGACCAGAAACTGAGATCCATGCCAGCACTCGTCTGAGATTCCGACATGAAACTAAGTAGGACCCCCGCCATACGCAGGCAGGCCAACTGTAAAACCGGCTGCTCTGACCAGAAGTCATCAAAATTCTGAAACAGGGTGCATGAAAAACAGGAAAAGCCCCAACCCTTCGTACGTCAAGCCAAGCGGCACACTCATCATCCATAGCGAACGTCACGCGGCGGTCCGCAAGCTCCGCCGGTGCAGTCTCCAGTAGTTCGTCGACTCCGAAGACGGCGGTGCCATCATCATACCAGGGACATGGCAAGACAGCGGATCCCTATTGGATTGCAAGAGGAAACTAAGTGGGAGGCCCATGGGGGGGCCGGTATTGTTCACGCAGGCAGCGCTTGTGGCCCTGGTGATAGCAGCAGCAGAAGGCAGCGCAGCGAAGCAAAGCAGCAGCAGCATCCCCTGCCTAAACCCCGAAAAGGAGAACCCCAGACGGCATTCAGTGCCGGACTTGCATCGGCCTCTTGAGGCGCGATTGTTGTTGTGCCTTTCGTTGGCCATACCAGGCTTTTTGGCATCTTGACTCTTTCTTGTATC